CACCCACGCCGCTGAATGTCACACCCACGTAGCAGTGTTGCGTCTTCCACATGTTCAGCGTAACGTTCGTCAGCGTCTGGTTCACCATGCAGCTCGTGTCGCCGTCAACGGCTCTCTCCGCCACGGGCGGCACAACCGTGTCGGGCACCTCGAAGGGAAGACACGACGCGCCATGCCATCCGTCCTTGCAGCTGCACGAGCACAAGCTGCGGTCCACCAACTCCGTCCCGGGCATGTAGCACGCCGCATCTTCGTTGCATGTGCCACACCTGAAGACTTCCACCTCCTCCGGAAACACATCGTCGTACGACACCTCCTCATCGCCCTGCAGGTTGCACCCAACGACAAACCGCGCAGGTAACTCAACAATCGTGTCTGGCGGAGAAAAATCAGCGAAGGGATAACTATTGTCCACCTGACGGTTGTGTGCAAGCGCCACGGTGGTGCCGCTGCCCGATAACCTAATCTTGTACTGGGGGTACGGAATAGTTAATACTGAGGCTGCACCTACGATGTTGCCCTCCACACGCCACTGCGCACCTCCCTCAAGGGTCGCCGAGCCAGACAAATACACCAGCGCGGAATCAAAAATTTCCGTCCCGTCAACAAAGGTGCAGTCTGCCACTCGCAGCAGCCCCGCGGAGCTCACGGTAGTATCCCCAAAAAGAATAACGCCATTGACCGAGCTCATCGTGTTGTTCTCCACGTCAAAGTAGCCGCCGTTCTTCACTCCAACGGCATTAACGCAAACAGATGATTCCAAACCGTCATCGTCCTCCGTTGTCCTCAGCGTATTTCCCTTCACAATGATCCCGCCACCATCAACAACAACACTGATGAAATAGACCGCGTACCTATCCGCCCCAATGTAGTTGTCAAGTAGCAGCAGCGTCATATTCGCACTGAGAGTAAACTTCGCAAAGGAAATGGCGTGGCCCGACGTCGTCACAAGCGTACAGCCCACCACCAATATCTGGGAGCTCGCGCCGAAATCACCCTGAAACACCAACTCACCAGAATCCAACATCGAAGAAGTCACGTCCACGTGCACACGCGCACCACTCCCCCTGATCGACAGGCCCACGAGGACGCACTGCAGCAGCGTGATGTTCAGTGTATGCTGTGGCGCGTCAAAATACGACAGGTCCAGCACAATCGCGGCGGTGAAGGTCACGTTGACAAAGCACAGACCACGCACACCGGGATCAGGAACGTACACGGAGCTGATGCTGCCACCGTGCACGCAGCGGACCTCCGTGTCCTTCGCGTCGGGGAGCGGAAGCGGTCCAAGGCCGTCCGGAACCGCAGCCGGCAGACACGTGTCACCGTAGCCGCCAGCAGCGCACACGCACTCACAGCCGCTGATGCTGCTCGTCCTCGCTGCAAAGCACACGGCGTCCACGATGCACACGCCACAGTCCAACACCGTCACGGGCGTCCAAATATTGAGGTCGTCTTGGTAATTCGTCACAGGAGAGCCCATTGCCTCGTTGCACACACCGTAGATGGTCGGGCGCGTGTCGGATGGTGGTGACCACTTGGTTGTCATATTTGCAATGGTAGATGAGTACGAGCCATAAGTGAAGTTGTTGTCAAGTATCGACCACACACTCTGATCGCGGAACGCCATGCCGTAGTGGGCAGCCACGTACACAACGTAGGCGGTGCGGAACTCGTTGTTGCGGTGCACCAGCCAGCTGCCGTCAGTCACGGTCAGCGTGTTTGCCATCAGCATGGCGAAGCCGAAAC